TTTTTTTTTTTTTTTAATTTTATAGTTATTAGAATGGCAGTTTATTTATTTATTAATTATCTTCTTGCAAATTCATCTACAACTTTCTGGAAGTCCAATCTCCTTGTAACACCTCTTTTGATAAACATTGTGGTCAATTCTGCGACACATTCCTGAGAAATAGACGATCTCAGGTTTAAATCAATCTCGACTGTGAATAACTCCTCAACAGTTAACAATCACTGCGGTTCTAAGTAATACACCGAGGACAATGGACATATTGGGATTAATATCTTCGCAAATAAACCGAAGTGTTCTAAAAGCGTCAAATACGTCACGGAGGAAAAAAAAAACGTATGAACATATTAAGTTTAGGACCGTTGTTGTGCAGCAATGATTGGCTCGTCCTGAGATTCATTTTACAAACAAGATGTTTCTCTCGTCTGATACGAGTCTCCGGTAATTCTGGCACAGCTGATAATACTTCTGCCAGTTCATTAACACCTATCATGTCACATTCAAAATGATTTTATACACATTGAAAAAGGGTTTACTGTTTGTCGTTAACTAAATTAAAAATATTAATATATATATATATTAATATACAAGCACTTAATTTCTTCCAAAGTAATTAGAAATCCATATGATACTGGCTTCTCTGATAATGATTCAACCCCAGAACAAACTGTACTGTTTAACTCATGTTTATTCATTTGTTACGTAATACATGTCGTAAAAACAACAATCAAGTACATGAAAAAGGAGATACATAAAAATTGAAATATGCAGTGTGCATCCCAAAAAACAAACACATTTCAAAATTAGATGACCACCAACTGTCAAAAAAGTACATTAATTTTTTTTACACGACTTAAGCTCATTTAACACTTAATATTTCCTTACTCCTTAGATTATAGTATTCCGTATTTTTATTACTGCATAACTTATTAACCTACTGATTTTTAGCTGCGGCTGATAGAACGGTTCTGAGTATTTTTTTGTTTTTTTCAAGTACAAACTTTTAGCTAATAGCTTCAAGCATCTTTTGACCGATTTGAGATCTAATTACAATTTTGTACTCAGAAGGTCAAACCCTTTGAATTGATGTATTTGACCACGCCCAAGGTCTCGTAGATTAATTGATTCTAATTCTGCCTGAGAGAATTTCAATTTGAAGGTAGGCTAGTAGAGATTCTGATGAGTAATAAAATTGAATCCTATATTGCTGGCGCACAAAAATATAGCTAATAAAAAGGGAAACAAAGGGCTTGCAGATTAATTTACTCTAATCATGCTTAAAAGAATTTCAAGTGCCGCGGCTACTGATGATTCCTTCTGGTATTAAAATATGTGTAAGTCTGTATTAATCTTATGAATTTCTTTATTATTCTTGAAAATATGTTGTAATTTGGGTACATTGACTATTATTTTTTATACACTTAGAATTGCTCACTAAGAACCGATTTATTTTGTAAATAATTACTATTTTATTTTACGAAACAACCGATAAAATCTCAATAATTTAAGCCCAGGGTTATTCTCGCAATTCTTATTTATAAACACAGCAAAAAGTTTATATTCTGTCTAATCTCCCGAATAAATATTAGCATGTATGGTTTGTTTGTTTGCTTCTAATTAAGCACAAAGCTACACAATGGGCTATCTGTGCTCTGCTCACCACGTGTATCGAAACCCGGATTCTAGCGTTGTAAGTCCGCAGACATGCCGCTGTGCCACTGGTGGGCAGCATGTATGGATAAATAAAACAGTAAGATTAATTTATGACACTTTACCTATCAGTTAATTATTTTATTTTATTTACTACACCTATATAGTCACTTTTTGAATACATTCATTCCAATTTATATTATTTTTCCAGAAACTTTGCTGTAGAACATCTCTTAAATCTTATTCCAGTCATATGAATATGTATTTTATTACTGTATATATTTTTAATTTTACTGTGAAAATGGACAAATTTTAAACTTTCAAGATTAATAAACAACTTTCAATAAGCCAAACATTTAACTTATAACTTAAATTTGACCATTTCAACTAAAACAGTTTAAATTCTCAGTATGGGCTATAGTTGTGGTGTCATCTGTTAGTAAGGTTCTGTTACGTATCAGCTTGTTTGTTGATTTCCGGTAGAAATTCTTTTGAGAAACTTCAGCGATACAAGTCCTTTCTTTGGTTAAACCAGTTTATTATTTTTCGATACAAACTTTTAGCACACAGAATCGTAAATTATCCGGAACTCTCTTCATTCATTCAATCCCGTAAGCTTTCTGTGCCAGGCTTATATACTAAAAAAATTCCTTAGGACACAAAATCGTAAATTATAGGGAACTCTCTTCATTCAATCAATCCCGTAAGCTTTCTGTGCCAGGCTTATATACTAAAACAGAAGGCGTCCCGAACAAACTCGGTCTTCCTCGATAATTCATGATCATTCGAGGAATTAGGAAGCGTCACGTGACTTCCGCTGTCGTAACACTGCCCCTTCCTTAGGATTGTTCGTCTCGAACAATAGCCACTTACATTAAACCAATAGATAATTAACAATAACTTAATTAAATGTACAGAATTTACAAACACAAAATTAAAATACAACAATGTCTCCTAATTTTACGGGACGTATCTTCTTTCGAACTGGTCTCCGTCTTATTGACTTCTGCTTTACGTGGGATTCATCTGCTCCATCAGGAAATGTCCCATTATCGGTAGAAGTCACATCAGTGGTAGTAAATTCATAAGTGGCTTCACTGCTTTCCTTCTCAAAACCGGGTAGAGTTTCTTCTTCGACAGAGGCTTTTTCAGGTGATACATCTTCAGCAGCGTCATTTGTTCTGTTGTTCATTTCATTCCAACTGAAATGTCCTACTGTGATAACGCCAAAGCCTGTTGACATGCACCACCTTTGGCTTACCTCGCCGACCACATTTTATTCGGAAAGTCACATCTGAGAGACGATCCACTATGTCATGTGGGCCTTCCCATGGAGAAGACAACTTAGAAGATTTCCCTTTGGTCTTCCTGGGATTATACAACCACACATTATCTCCTGGTACAAAGCTGACTTCAGTAGATTTCTTATCATAAATAGCTTCATGGAATCAGTAGACGTTTTTAAGTTTGAATGCACTTGATGATGAATATAAGACTTTCACGAACTCTGGCACATTTTCAGGCAACTCTTCATAAGGTGGGCGTTCTGTTATCAGGTCCACTGGCAACCGAAGTTCCAGACCAAACATCAGC